GGCGGGGGGCGGAGGGGGGGGGGGGGGGGGGGAAGGGGCGGGACGCATTCTTCCCTCCTCCTCCTCTCCGTGCATCCTGAAAGCAGGCAGTGGAGTCCTGGGGGACACTACTGGAGAGTCGGGGGGGATCCCCGTGGCGGGGTGAGAAAGAAGCCAGAAACTATAGGGAGAGAAAGTGAGTAAATAAAATAAGGTGTATATGTGGAGGAGGAGGGGCCAGGACACCTTAAATTCTGGGTATCCCAGCCGGCTTCCCAAGGGTTAACCCCTTCAGACCCCCGGGAACCCCCTAGTGACGTCAAGGGCGGGGTCTGAGCCGCCGGGCGGGGATGCCGGGGAGATAATGCGGGGGGGAGGTCTCTGGACCCCGCCCCCCTAGGGAAAACCACCCTTATTCCGCCCTTTACATCTCTCCCGGAAAACCGCCCCGCCTTCTCCTTCAACTGGAACGTAAAAAGACATTCTATGAAGACCCCAGTTCTACAGCTCCCTAAAACGCTCCGTCCTCACTCTACGGGGTCCCCTTTCCCTAATCCTATCCCCAAGGCTAGCTGCCCAGGGCTGATTGTTTCGGGGTCATGGGGCCTGAAAGAGGATTCAGAGCGGGGAGCAAGGGCAGGCAGGGTGGTCTGAGTCAGAGGAGGGGCCTCGGTCCCCAGCTCCCGTTTGGGCGGGGGACCAACGGAGATACACAGGCTGACAGTGGCCAGTGGTCTCGCCCAGCCCCAGTAGGGGTCTCCCTGCGGCTGGCTCCAGATGCCCTGGTGGTCCTGAGGTCAGAGGGTCAAGACAAGGTCTCCCCAGCTCCTCCTCAGCGCCCTGCCTACAGCCCTTAGGACTCAGGAGTCCAAAATTCCTTGGGATCATTATAGGGCCTAGACTAGACCTTGGACAGCCCTCAGCCCCCTTCCTAGTCCAGAAGACATTCCTCTGCCCCCAAACAAGCATCCTCAGGCACGTCTGTCACAAGACAGGTCAGGGGTTCAAGCCCACCCGCCCCCCAGTGGTTTTGTTGTCTCACACACACCCCCATCCCCACCCCACCTAGAGCTCCCTCCTTTACGGTCCCTTCCTTTCAGAAACACTGACGTCTTCCTGCACGGCGCTCAGAGACACACCTGGAATTCCCTCTCTACCACGCAGACCTCCAGCTAGCCATCCCTCCAGCCTCTTCATCCCAACCTCATGAAAGAGATGTTTCTAGTATATGGAAGAGGCCGAGACAGACAAAGAGATCCACGGTTGCCTGGGACAGAGACACACAAACTGTCAGAAGAAAAAAAGAAAAAGAAAAGACATAGGAAAGGAGAGATACAAATAAAAAAAAATTCTCCAAACTTTTTAATATCTCACTCTGGGCTCTTCCACCCCCATTCTTCCTCTGCACCCCAGGTCTCCCTCTAGGCTGGGATGAGTCCCTCGGAAGCAGAGCATCCCCTCAGGCCCCTTCCCCCACCACTCCCAGG